AATGGTACTGTTTTACGATTCAATTTTGACTTTCGACTGTTAGAGAAGATTGAAGTTTAGTACTGCATTTATGTTCTAATTCGCCAGACTTAAACGAACATAAATTATTTATGCAATAAAACTCAACACATGTATCAGAAATGAGCTCTCCTTGTGAGGGTAGCATACTTTTTATTAACCAATGTATAATATAAATCAAACAGTTCGTTTCAAAGTTCATTTTAAGCACATTACGGCTTAACCAATCTCAGTCGTTATTAATTAGGTATAAAAACAGTCATACAGGCTCGATCACAGTCAGCCAACCATTAATACATACAAATATACACCAATCTACAAAACAAGAAATACAACTTAAATAAATCATTATAAGTAAAACATTACTTTCCACATAAAAACAATAGATGGTCTTGATGATGGTGGGGGGTGAGGGGGGGGGGGGGGCTTAATACAGGCAAGGCAGTAGTACGGCGTATGCTACTCAGCGTAAGGCAGAACTTCGAATAATAACATTATAAATTACATTTAATTTATATCAAACAGCAAGCACGAGAAACACGAGCCAAAATCATACGATACATAGAATACCTGTTTTAAATTCGCAATGCGACGAATTTCATCCAATGGAATACATTGTAAACATTACAGGTATTCTAAAAACATGTGTTGCTGTAAACAAACACACGTGTTTTACCAAAACATATACATGTGCTTCCGTACTATTATTAAATATATGTATATTTGAATTAATGATAAACATAGTACGTTGTTTTACAGGTAATGATGTAAATATTCTATATATATATATTAGGGATGAAGCCGCTCTTACATGTAAAACTTCATCGTCTCTCTTTCGACCATTTGTTTTGATCTATTAAAATCGTTAACTGCCCACACGAATCATTTGAACTATTTATTTTTCTGTCAAGTTATCTTACATAAATCTTGACGTGCCCGTAGTTGTCTTTAAATATAGTGTTTGTATTGTTTCTATATTTAGCTGGGAAATTATAGACCTTTTTATGATGTTATTATGTGGCTAGTGTTGTATTGGCTCCGTTATAGATTCGAGGTTAGTTGTATTGACTCCGTGATTCGAAGTTTGGTCAATGTTGAAGGCTTCCCAGTGACTTTGAGATAAAGAACAGTGCAGCTCCATTACTTTTACCCAGGAACATATACTGTTCCCAGTTTTACCTCATAACATATTACAGACAATAATGCAAAACAAATAAAATGAAATATGCAAAATTTAGTAAAATATGTTATGTTTCAAGGACTTCACAATAAATTGAGCAAAAAAGATTGTATAAGTTTGTGGAAAATTGTTATTTATTTTCTTTATTTATTCAATCTATGTGTAGAATTTTATTTTAGAGTATGGTGAAAAGGAAGCCATCTGTCCCTTTGAATCCCCCCCATAAATGTTCACTAATTCGCATTTTGCTTCTAATCAATTAGTTCTACACTAAATCAAGTTAAATAACCCCTGTAAACATTTCAGATCACATGAACTGAATTTATGTTGTATAACCTATCAATCTATAGATCCATAGTGTTACATTTCCATTGTAAACTAGTGATTGAAATAACGATTATTTAAATCCTCTTGCTGCCGGAGGGATACATGAGTCCACAACGTGCTGTGCCGGAGGGAGACATGTGTCCACATCGGCTGTGCCGGATTGACACATATGTCCATATGTTAAATTTATGCAAGCATCTGTTCATTACTGTATCGCTTTCAAATAAAATATCGAAGATAAAACAGTGTAATATTTTTCTTCAATGTAATGTCATTACGGCGAGTTGGGCGTGTGAAATCACAGACGTCAATCTGCTGTATTTTCTGGCACACGAAATGCAACTATATTAAAAAAGCGGCAGCAAGAGGGTTAAGAATATCTTTCACTTCTTTTAACAGGCGTCTTTTCAAATTGTATCTTCAATTTTAGAAATTTTATTAAATAATAAACATGTCAATAAATAAAATATAGTTGAAATTGGGCTTTGAACTAGTTTTCGGTAACTGAGAATTCTCTTGGATTGGTATATAGGCTCATTCTGGAATCATGTCTTTCACCGGAAAAGATCGTGAATTTCGCACGCCTTTATGACGTCATTTACCAGATAGAAGGCGCGCCTGTATCACTGCTCTATTAAAGTTTCAAGCACTTTCAGAATCGTCATTCTGCAGGGTAGTCTATAAATAATTTATGTTCCGTAAGTACGTAATCTTAATTCCCGTACGACTGAAGGGAGGGTGACCAACTTATTAGATTTAATTTCCAAAATAATTTGTGCAGTATAAGATCAAACTTTTTACCCGTTCGCTCAACATGTGTTGAAAGTGACGATGCCTACATTTAGGTCACGTGGTGGTGGAATTCACATGACAGATTCAAATAACTGCCGTATCCTGGAACTGGCGTATTGTGTGGTACATTGTGTGGTACATTGTGTGGTACATTGTGTTGTACATTTTGTGGTACATTGTGTGGTACATTGTGTCTCTAGTTATTTCAGTATATTAGATTGTATCTATTTTAACAGACATTTATAAAAAAATAAGGAGATGTGGTATGATTGCAAATGAGACAACTATCCACCAAAGTTCAAATGAAGTGGATGTAAGCAATTATAGGCAATCGTACGGCCTTCAACCATGAGAAAAACCCATACCGTTTAGTCGGCTATAAAAACCCCGACATGAAAAATATGAAACAATTCAATTGAGAAAACTTACGGCCTAATTTATAGCAAAACAATTTACGAAAAACAAATTTGGCAGACATGAACCAACGACAACCACTGCACTACAGGTTCTGATTTTGGACAGGCACAGAATGTGGCAGGGCTAAACATGTTTGTGAGCGCTCAACTCTCCCCCTTACCTGGGACAGTGGTGTTACAGTGCAATTTTGTATGATCGACATTTGATTCACACCGCCTCTATGGTAGTCAGTTTCATAGTACATGTTCATCTAAATATAAAAATAAGAAGATGTGGTATGATTTATGTACAACATAAAATCACACTATAAAAATCAGTTGAAAAGGTCTTAACTCATCAGATCGATACAAATCAGAAATACATCTAACTTAAACACAGAGTGGACGTCGCAGGGTACTTATACATCCCCCCCCCCCCCCCACCCCCCCCCCCCCCCCCCCCCCCCCCCCAACAAAAAGACACTAAGTACAGATCTGAGAGTACTCACAGTTACTGACAGCTAGTTCAAAGTCAATAACAACTAATAAAAAAATCATGCATCTAAGACTAAAATATCAATCAGTACACATTCAACATCCAATGGATTTAGTATGAAGACGTTATTAACAGTCGGAGAAAAACATGACCTTGTGCAATGCCAAGATACAGGTATCAACAGATTGTAGAGCCATAAATGTGCAAACGTATATAAAAATAATATTTAGCCTGGTTTTAATTTCGAAAACAAAACATGAAATTATTTAGTAAAAGGCTTCGTGAATTATTCGGTGGTTCCAGCAATATATAGTTATTTGTAAGGACTCTTGTAATATTGGGGTTTTCAGTAGTGTGAAGGAAGACCAATTACTTATCTTCTGTGAAATTCCAATGGAACGCATGAAGATGCATTTTTCTAGAGAACTACAAAGCAGGGCTTTCTGAAATATGAATATAGCTTTATGTGATCATATTTTACCGTGTGATGCGTTTTGAAATACGTTGCTCGTCAATCTTCTCTTTACCGAATACTTATATCGGGGGTATCATTTGTGAGCAAAATATAAAACTTCAGATACAATGTGAAGACATCGATGTACACACAAAAATGGCAAAAGAACACTTGCTTCACGATAAGTTGTCTCATAGAAATATTATTTCAGCACATACTGGGCTTGTGTTATCCCCCGAGACGAACCACCAACCAGCAGTATATTTCACATCTGTGTCTTTTTTCTTGTTCTCTTTCGATTAATCTTTATCTTCAAATTTTATCCCACAATCATCACATTCATAATTTATATGAGGTTTCAACTCCCTCAGGCAAAGATGACCTTAGATGGATTTGGCTATTTTTATGTCCCTTTTGGTCATAAAACTCATCAACTGTTTCGGTTCTTATAAACCCTTGGCTTTACCGGCTCATAGTTATCGGATTATTTTTTTTTTAAAGTCACAAACAAAACGTTAGTTTTCGAAAACTGATGAAGGTAAATCCAGAAAAAACGCTTCTGACGCTTGAAATTTAACATGTTGTTTTCATTTTGTTAACTATACATTTTACATTTTAATGCCTTTGTTAAGTTCTCGTTTAGTCGCTACTTTCAAATGTACATTCTTTAGATGTTATATGCTGGCAATCATATCTTATGTAAGTGTTGCTAAAGAAATTCAAACCGCTGGTTTTTAAGAAAAGTAACATATGAAGCTTACGCGTTGTGGATATATTTTACTTTTTGTTTGGACGGTCTCAGCGTTGTAATTGTTCTGTATTTGATATGCACAGTTTTAAGCAACCTTTCAAAGCTACTTTCTCGTGTTAACAACGGTTTAATCCAGATTATGAAGAACAACATTTTTGAATAAAACATCATGCGTTTACCTAAAACCCAGCGGTCTCATTAGGAAAGTATGGTATGGCAATATTTCATCCTTAATTAGGTTTGAATACCGAGTTTTTGTAAAATATATTAGACTGCTTTAATAATTCGCTAATTTGGTCCTTTTCGATTGCAAGTGTGAACGATAACGCCCCTTTCTGGACGTCAAAGTGTTTTCGAAAACTAACGTTTTGTTTGTGACTTTAAAAAAAAATAATCCGATAACTATGAGCCGGTAAAGTACTTTGCAAGCACAACAATTCATAATTCGATTACAATGTGATCAAGAGAAAAATAAGACAACTTATCGCAATGCGAATGTTCTGGTCACCATTTTAGTGTGACATAGATTTCCCATCCTGTCACTGAGATTACCTTTGTACCATTCGAAATATATACTGACAGCGGTATAAATATTAAAATTTATTTTTTAAAACATGACTGCAATAATTATATTAATGGAGTCATTAGTCTCAAACAATAGCATATTCAGTGCTAGATGTAGAGTACACACGATTAATATCAACCTGAATGTTCCACTTGTTGTAGAGGCGAGTCATTGACAAATATGATGTCAATTCGTTTGCCGCAACAAATTGATTGGACAATTCATTTTCAATAGGATGTACAAAAATTAAGTCCTCTCCTTCCGGAATATGTGACGCCAAATGACAAAATAATGCTTTTGCTAGAATTGGGTTATCTGCAAACAATGGAAACATCTTATGACCAACGTCAGCTGGGCGTAATACACCATATCCTACTACACGACCACTCTTTAAAGCAACATATCCATTAGCAGAACTGTGAAGTGCCCATTGTGTGAGATATACTGGGCGAGGAACTGTATGTAACTCGGTATCATACGTTACAACGTCTTTAAAATTTACATCTTTCAATGCTACCACCTCAAAATCTCCGCTGGGAACATCACTAATAAATGATTTGTTTACTTTGCCCATACTGTAATGAAGTGTAAATGATTGAATTTTCCAACCGAATTGATGATAAAATGAAATTCGATTTGATAAAGCTGTGCCACCGACATTCCTCTCTGCCATTACATCCATTACTCTACGGAATAATTTTTGACCTATACCTAATTCACGGTAACCCTCCTTGACAATATTCATTCCGGATGATGCAATTGTCTCACTGTGTGAAAGTATACCATTGTGTCCTAAAGAAAATAAATAAAACAAATTATATGATTTAATATTTCTATAAATGAAAAAAGTAAATGTTATGTATTATTGTCGAGTTTAATTTCACTTTCTGCACGTGGCAGGTGCGCTCGACTCCAATCTTATTGACCAGCCGATTATCAATTTTCCTGCCGACGGTCGATGGTTCTCTCCTGGCACTCCGGCTTCCTCTACCAATAAAAACTGACTGCCACGAAATAGTCAATATTGCTGAAAGTGGCATTAAACACCAATCAATCAATCTGTTTATTTAATTTTGTAGTTGACTCATTCGTTCTTTCTTTAAAGGTACATGATTTGACTTATAAAGTAAAAATGTTTGAATCCCACCGCAGTATGCATTGAAAGATGGTATGACTTCTCTTTTTCTGTCCTTTTGAAATTATTTAAGACAGTCAGTCCCGCACTATGATGATTCTTGAAGAATACAGTGGTCTATAGTATTCACAAGCAATTATTGTCATTTGTAACGAGGGCGTGAAAAACAGATATGGGATAAACTTAAATTTATAAAGGAATTAAATTTTTTAAACCACCTGAAACTTTGTGAATTTTAAAACATGTTAATCCGTTATTATTATCAATATGAAACGTAAAATAAACATTTTGGTTGTCATAAATAAAAATGTAAAACAACAATTAGGTGACTGGGGTTCATAGAAGGATAATCTAATACAATTATCCCTAATCTAGAAAACATATATAAACGGATACATCTGACATATTTGAAAGTAATTATAAATATATGTTTCCATCAAATTGGTGACCAATTTCGAAAATATTCTGAATATCATAATTTTATAAAATGAATTATGGACTTTTCAAAATATTTTCTGATGTTGTAAGTTCGAACCCCGCTCGTGGTGACGCGTTTTCGTCTCCGATCTTAATTGGCAAGGATTGTCACTTGCCCTGTCGAAGGAGGGTTTGTTCTATCCAGGTGCTCCAGCCTCCTCCACCCATAAAAACTGACCACCATGATATAAGTAGCGGTAAACACATTTAAGTTTTCTTCAGTACTATTAATCTTAAAATAAATGTACATATACATGCAACCACAATTTACCCATGTCCAATCTCTGAAATTAATTTTGAATTTACATATCAAGAACAAAACCCGAACTCCAAGCATAGCGAGACTGAGTACATAGACAGGGCAACTGTAATGCATTCATCGACCGCCATGCTAAACTCTGTCAAAATGTCAAATCCGGAATAGAACACAATTGGTACAGAATCAGACTAGGGGGACTTTTGGGCTCGAGCCCCCGGCAACTAACTCCTGATGGTGACCGTCAAACTTATGTAGTACAGATTTAAGTAATTCTTCCTCATAACATTGCTGTTTATAGCTCATAATGACAAAAAATAAACAGTCCGATGAGTCGGGGAATGTATATTACAATTGATGTTACGCATGATATAATAGCTTTTGATACAGTCGTGATATAACCTTTTCTACAAACATGCAAACAAATACTTGATTAAAAAACTCTAATTGAAACATAGGAAAAAATCAAAGTGCTGTTTAAAAGATGTGGGCAAAATCTTAAAGAGAGAAAAAAAAGCGATGAATAAAATACAATAACAAAAACCCATCTAAATTTTAATATACGCTCAGTATTAACAGATTAATGTCAATAAAAGATACTAATAACTTTGTGACACATCATCATCATAATTCTCTAATATAAACATATGTGGGCATATTGTGACTCAAAAAACATAATATCGGGAAAATCTTTACAATAAATTTAGATGAATGATTTCCTACTTGATATATACACAAGAACGAATTTGTTTCGCCAATTCACGCTCTTCTTACAATATATCAAAAACTCTGGAGATTGGATACATGTATGATTGGCAATGAGAAAACCATCAACCAAATGACGTGGATGTTATCAACTGCAGATCACTTTAAAACCTTTTAAAATGAAAAAAACCCTCATATCACAAAGTGAGCTCTAAAAGGTTTTGACATGACAAAATTGGATACAAGAATAAACTGATTCATCTCAGGAACTTTAAATTTTTTTTATACGGCTAAATGTATTCATGGACTAAAAAAAGTATGTAAATTCTTAAAATTCATTATCAGTTGATGATGTAAAAATAAAACAACCAAAAAAAAAAAAACATTTAAAATTTCCAATTTGTATTTGTAAATATATTTGCCAGGAATGAAATAAGCATGCAAAAATCAAATACGGATATTTTGAAACAACTGGTTTAAAAGAGATAAATGTTGTGCTGTTTGTGATTCCCCCCCCCCCCCCCCCCCCCGCGGTAAGTAGTCGGTAATTTCTCCCGTGGTGTGTGTGTGTGGGGTTGGTGGTGATTCCCTTTGTATACGCTGTCATATACGAAGGGATTTAATAACTGTTCTGGTTGTGAATGTCGTATTCTACATATTTGTGAAGGCAACTATGAAAATATTTGAAACTGGAAAACGTAAGCCTGTTGCCCTATATCTACAATGATATTTTGTCAAAACTCCTGCCTTATTATTTTTAATATTTTCAAATATACGTCATTACTATGATAGACCATTTGAAATTAACTACTGCTCTTATTTAACACCCTTTCTAAATATGGTGGAGAAATTCCAGTTAGGTACATGTACAGAGGCTCATGTCCCAAAACAAGAATCCTGAATTTAAAATCTCATTATTACAATCTAATGATGCAGACGACATTATTCAATATCTTAATATCATGATTTAGAGAGTTTATGTCAAGTGCTCAGTTAAATGCGTACATTTTACCTCAAAAACGTTGACCTTTATTATATCTTCACTTGTTTTAGTATGCGAAATGTATTTTAAACATATCTAAATGAACATGTAGACTGTAGACCTTAAGAAATAAAAATTCGTTTCAATGTGAAAAAATAACACCAAAAACAATGTTTACACAATAGCATTACCAAGTAGGCATGCAACTATCCTTGACAGTTTGTAGAGGTACATGGTCAAAATGAGAGTTCTGGGATTGATGTTGTTCCAGTGCATATGTTATTACAAATTAAGATAGATTAACTGTATACCGCCATCTTGGATCATAAAATAGCAGTTCGCAATAGGTCTATTTGTTTGCTTAAATTTTGAGACAAATTGGCAATTAATAATTATGGGTTAGACTGTTTATTGGAGTAAAGAAAAATAAGTGATTTATTGCATTATTCAGACTGATTTATTAAATACCAAATATTTGTGTTTGTTCAAATCAAATTGTCAACTTAGCCATTTAAGGGGAGATAACTCAAACAATATATTTTTTTATAAGGAATGATAGAGAAATTTTCAGTTTTTACTTGTAGCAAGAAAACAAGGTCGGTGACACCATTTTTTCTTTTTATTTTCTTAAAGCATAATTTAAAACCGGTCTTCTCATATTTTATTTCAAAATTCTATCTCATAGATTTCCTTTAATTAAAAAAAAAATGTTTTTTTCATGAACAATCTATGCAAATTTGGGCAATTTTGCACGACTTCTAGCTTGAAATATAGCACGGTGATCCATACTTTATAATATATTTTTGAAAAAAGCATGGAAAAATCTACATTCTGACAAAGTATAAGAAATTTCTATCTGAGGAAATATATACCAATGACCCACCTTAAAGGGACATATTGTGGTAAACAGGAATCAACTAAGCAAAAAGAACATCCCTTTTCAAACTTCATACTCACCTAACAATGTTTTCAAATTTTTCTATTACCTAAATTGTGTGAAGTTATAAACAATATTTTACAAAATTCCTTAGAATTACTTTTCTTTTTAACAATCATCCTTCTCTCGTGGCTTTTTATGCTTATTCGTAGAAATGTTCATTTGCCTCTTATATGCATGTCCCTTTTTCTTCATTTCTTTTCTTTTTAAACATATTTTAGTAAATTTATATCTCTTTTTTGCTATGTGAAATCACCGTTTAATTACCCAACGTTTTTTTTTTATCAAACCAATGTTTAATAACTTTGCTTTAAATTTTATTTTCATTCTGTTTATAACTGAATCCCCCCAAAAACGTTTTCTGCTGAATCCATAACACATATCATTTACAAGATAAGATATTTTAGTGTCGATCATTTTCACAACTGTCTTTTGTGCAAGCTATTTAGAGTTTATTTTGTTTTGTTTGTGTCACATAGACGTTTACATCACCACTCCTTTTACTGGAAACATCTGGTCTCACAAATGTGTAGAACAAGACATTCATAACCGATTACCGACTGATACAAATTACCAGGGGAAAAAGTCATAACCAGACCAACAGACTCATACAGTTTACACATTTAAACCCACTGTTTCAAAATATCTGTTTTCCATTTTCACAGTTATACGATGTATATCACATTTTTTTAACTGTTGTGATACAATCTTATATTGCCAATTGCCCTACTGATATGTTTATCATTATAGCGTTCATGTTTTTACTATTAAGTTTCTTTTTTCATGGGCAATGTACCTCCCACGTCTATAATATAGTGTACGACAATGTAAAGTCGTATACTGAATCAGAGGAAGCATGCTTTTTCGATTTGCTTCTAATATTCCAATTGTTTTGTTTTTATCAAAGATTTATGAAGACTAGTTTGACTGGAAGTACATTTTTGAGTCCATGTCTGAATTAAAAGAATTGCTGCATGTATGCTGAGTAATTCACCTAGATCTTGTATCATTTAGATGATGAAATAATAATACATGTACATATATACTATAAAACATCTTATAACACAATGGAAATTTTTTATTCATAGATATAGGAAGATCAGTCTGCCTAAATTATATCTTAAAGTACCTTGGATTTGAAAAAAATAACTGGAAACATCGATATAATACTTTGATTTTGACAAACAGTAGTATTCATGAATTTATATTTCACTGTTGGTTATACAAACTTCAGACTTTTACAACTTGGACTGGGTGAACTTTCGACGATAAGGCCAGATTATCATCACAACATTTACATTGAAGTTTTGTATACAAAAAAAAAATGATTGCCAATGAGACAACTATCTACCAAAGTTCAAATGAAGTGGATGTAAGCAATTATAGGCAACCGTATGGCCTTCAACAATGAGAAAAACCCATTGAAGTTTTATATGTTGGTTGTTTAATAAATTGCTATAATTAAAGAAAAACAAATGTTGCTTCAATCTTGTATATCTACGATTTTAAAATTTATATAATATTTGATTTATAGCAACAGTATCACGAAACTTTGGCTAGGCCCGAAAACAAAAATATGGTCATTACACCAGCTAGAACCTGAACCATTTCCGCGTAACTCTGGCTTTTCGTGCGAAAACAATTCCTGAAAATAGTTATCCCTTCTCCTTAGCAGATGCAAATTTATAACACTGCGTGGTACTTACTACAAGTATGTACATGTATACAACCTTACCTATTATCTCTCCGTCATCTTTGACTACCACCACAAGCCCAGTGGGATCAGTGTTAAAAACACATTCCAAATACGATTTCTCCATATTCCATTTATTTTCAGCTAACAGTTCATAAAGGCCTTGGATGTCTGATCGTCTCATTGACCTAATCTCATAGTTAATGTCAGACTTATTGTTACTAGAATATGTTCTGTAATGAAAATGTATCAATCTATTAAGTATATTGTACTAAGTAGTACATTATTGAGGTTTTATGGGGTAATTTAGGGCTTTATGCATTTGAAAAAAAAGATGAAAAGTGGGAAAATCTCTTTATCAAATGAATACGTACATGTAATGAAGATGCATGCATATATACAATATTTAAGATTAAAAAAAATAAAAAATAAAAAAAATAAGGCAAATTGATTGAAGTTTTGGCTGCTTAACATCCTGCGAGCAAACGTTATATGCTACATATATTAATAATATGGACATATTTATATAATATCAAACCGATACGATTACGAGGAACAGTACAAAGGAAGACATGTCACCTACCAGGACATATCATTTTATTCTTAGCCTACAAGATTTAGCTCTTACTCCTGGACGCCGTATGCATTGAAGCAAAATGCCAATTTATAATAATTGGTTTAAGACGGCTTGGGATCGAACCCCGTCGCTCCAACACTCATGAGACCACCGATAATTTAAACATATAAATAAGAAAACATTATGTTGAAAGAGTGGCTACGAAATATAGCATGCACATAGACTCAATAACAAAATTAGAAACATATACAAGCACTTTGACCTATAATTGTTAACTTTTTATGCATTGTGACTTAGATGGAGAGTTGTCTAATTGGCACTCATACCACATCTTCTTATTTATAGTTAATGTTTAACATTGCAGTGACAGAAATACAGAAAAAACTGAGGTTAGAGATGGGCTAGAGAAGATGCTTATCCTATCGACACACCGGGCCCGTAGCTAGAATGTCTCGAGATAAGGTTATTTGCAGTCATGATGCTCTGACCTTAATGATCAAACGTCAATCTGGTTCTCGACTGTAATACTTCATAATAATATTGTTTTTTTTTTGTTTTCAAGGGGAGGGGTTCAAACATCCCGAACTGCTACCCCCTGGCTACAGATGTGCACCTTATCGTACTTAATCCGTCTGGAGTTCAACTGTTTCAATACTTTCTTTTTCGATGTATATTTTGCGGTGAAAACCGATTTTAATTAAATAGTATACTTCATTAATTGTGTATGCGATACACAGTGAAGAAAAGACAACTGTATTTGTAGCATATTTCAATTAAATAACAATATCTAAAAAAATTACGACTTTTATCAAGTAAAGATACTTTACCTGGAATTCACCATTATTAATTTTCGCAACTGAGCTAAACGAAGCAGTGTATTCCTGAAGGCTACCATTATTAAAGTTTCAAAGACCTATACTGGGACTAAGACACATGGTGTCGACCTGATAAACAAAGTTTGGATGATAAAAGTTTAATTTTATTACGATAGTTAAGAGGTAAATGATAAGATTATTTTATAAGTACATATCTATATATATAATTTATTTCTTCACTAATCGGGTTTATATTATCAATCGTGAATCTTCATATCATATAATTTTGCATTTTCCTGCTAAGTCGTTGTTAACTTTTGCATCTGTTTTTTTCCTCATAATTTATGTTTTATTCACATCTTTAGACAAAGTAAAGGACTTTACTAATCGGATCGGTACTAGGCACAAAATAACAGTCAACATGACAAAAGACACTTAGTAACAGTCAACATGACAAAAGACACTAAGTACTGATCTATGAGTACTCTCAGTTATTGGAAGCTAGTTCTAAGCCAAATTTCAAATAAAAAAGAGAGCATTATTCCTAACTTTGATTAATCAATCAGTACACCTCCAACGAATTTAGTCTAACGACATCATATGCAGTCTGATAAAAAAGCAAAAATCACAAACTTGTGTAAAAGAGGGACGAAAGATACCAGAGGAACAGTCAAACTCATAGATCGAAAACAAACTGACAACGCCATGGCCAAAAATAAAAAGACAAACAGACAAACAATAGTACAGATGACACAACATAGAAAACTAAAGACTAGGCAACACGAACCCCACCAAAAACTGGGGGTGATCTCAGGTGCTCCGGAAGGGTAAGTAGATCCTGCTCCACATGTGGCACCCGTCGTGTTGCTTATGTTATTACAAATCCGGTAAATAGTCTAATTCGGTAGGTCACATTCGTGAAAAGGGAAGGGTATTGTAGTTACGACATAAGGAACATATCCAATATCATCTGTGAAACGGTAATTCCATAACGGTCAACCAACTCGTGATGGCGTCCGTAAAATTTACGAAGGGATGATTTTAACTTCACCATTTGGAACTCTTGGTTTAATAGTTATCTTGTGAGCAGCAATCCTCTATCAAGCAAATTATGATAGGAAATACAAGCCCGGGAATATCGTATCAATTGGGAGATATATATTCCGTATGCAGGCGCTGCTGGAATGTTGCTACATAGAAATGGAAAGTTCACAATTGGGAAGCTGAAATCATCTCTTTTGTCGTAAAGTTTTGTTTTCAACCGACCCTCATTGTCAGTTTCTAGATGTAAGTCAAGATATGAGGCAGACTTAACTGTATCTGTAGTATCCTTTATCTTTAGTTCGATGGGATAGATTCGTTCAACATAGTCACCAAATTTTGTATGTAAATTAATGTCAAAATATTTTGTCCTTTTCAATTTTAGTCAAATTACAAAATTTCTATTTTGTGCAATATGTTTTCCTCGATTTTATCTTACATTTTTCATCCCAAAAATATCACATATCATTTGATGCTTGAAATACGACGATAGATAAGATAATGATTATTTCATAAAGTGTCACATATTTGATTATTGTATTAAAGTGTTACATGTTGGATTATTTTATTAAAGTGTCACATATTGATCTTACATGTACAAGTAAATATACATTTTCAATACAAAAACAGCTAAAACAAAGATCATTGCCCAGCCTATATAGACTTATGAGACACACAATTTACAATAAAATACATAAATAAATATTTAACTTATAAATATTTACAATCACGTCTTTAATAACGGCCTAAAATATTCCACATCTAACAAAATTAAAACTCTTTATTTGGAAATGCTAATATCATGAATATTGTGATACTATAGTAAAAAAAATTATCGATTAAATTTATCTTTTAAAAAGAAAAGAAAAATATATAAACTTGTCCTATTAAATTGAGAAACAGTATATAACTTTTGGTAACTTAAAAAATCTATTAAGAAAGAAAAGTAATACTGGTTAGAAAAAAAAAATAGTTTGCAAGTTATAATTTCATAAACATTTCCTCCTAAGAAAAAATCTATTTAATGTATGAGGTAGACAAGTTTGTATGTATTTACAGTTCATAAGCGCATGAATCTATTCTCTGTGTCCATTCTGTCAAAGTCATCAATGAGTTCTAGTACTTTTTGAAAAGTTCGTATAGGATGTCTGTATATATATAAAGGCCAAACTATTTAAAAAATGTATTTCGTGTTCTACAGAGTACGTATTACAAAATTTACAAAGTCTATCATTTAGTGGTATCTGTGGTCTGGAATATCGTCCCTTCCCAACAGAAAACGGTATCGCCCGATCCTGCAAATGCCATTGTACGTCTGACAGTTCGTGTAATGTAGTATTCAGTTTCTATCGTCGTCTTATATAAGCGGTACGTTCTTACTTTATTGTTATTCACTTTGTTTCTATCATTGTTCAAATCTTGCAAAAATTGGTTTTGATATAAATTGAATAACTTGCTGTTGATAATGTGTATTGCTGTTTTCACACCCAAACATACACTGAAGAAGTTATGTATGAGTATACACTAATTGTGTACAAAAAATAATAAAACAATAATTAAAAAACGTAAAAGGTGACAATTGTCACTTTAGATACGACTAGTTAATTTGTTTTTATAAATAAATGTTCATTGCTATCTAGACTTGAGCGCTTTAGACCTTGACATATTGTAAAGACACCGTGGCTGTCTATAATATTGAAAATAATATCATCATTTCGAGTCAAGTAGGATATACGGGATTGTATTTTCATCGGAATAATAAAGGGGTAAATCAGTTTATCTATGTATATAAGTCGACAGGTTGACGGTTTCAAATTTTTATATATATAGGTTGACAGGTCGGCCTATTGACAGTTTGAAAAGGTAGACAGTTTGAAAAATATATGGGTATTTTTGGTCAACTGTCGTCCTGTTGACTGTCGACAAATCGACCTGTCGACTGACAACCACTATAATAATTATTTTTGGTACACAATTAATTAATCATTTCTTTTCATAGTTTTTGTCAACTGTCGACCTTAAATTGTCAACTGTCAACTTGTCGACCTGTTAACTGTCTATTTGTTAATTGTTACCAATTAAGCATTATTCTGGTGTAATGAAATAATTTTTTTTTCGACTTAATTTACGTCAACTGTCGACCTGTCAACTTGCAATTTGTTCTTTTATATTTTAAATATCTTTGTTGCCCAATACACAAGCGTATGAATTTATCGCAAAAGCCGGAACTACAGTACCGTAGGATAACCCCACGTCTTATTTTATTCATCATCGCTTCGTAACCGTGGGCATTCCTGTACAATCTGTCCTTAACACAAAATAAAAATAAAACATTACGAGCTGACGAAAAAAGGATATCAGAGGGACTCATATAATAAGTTAATTATCGTATAGAAAAACTTGGAACTCTTCGTCTTTTTTTTCTCAAGACAATTCACTATTTAGATTATCTGTATAAATTAATTAATTTCCTTAAATTGATTTGTGTGAGGTGTCTACGGAATTTTATAAAAAATGTGGGAAACTATCGATAAGAAAAATGTTAAGATACATATCGGTGAGTTGCAGTAAGATTTGGAGTAATATTAACATATGAGATAAGTAAGAAAAAAGGATGTGCAAGATAAAAAGAAAACCTTACCTAATACGAGTGAACTCTTTTGGCATAAAAAACAAACCAAACAAGAAATAACGCAAGAAACATAGCAGATTTAAATTTTTAAGCATTGAATGCTTCTTTTTGTATTTTATTGGGGTTTAAAAAAGTTGACCGAAGCTCAATTTACACGAAGCGCATTTTGAATGTCCATACGATCAACGCTTTTACAACCGTATACAATCACAAAAAGGAAGCATTTAATTTTTATGATGGCATCTTTTAAATGCTTTAACCATGAAATTACCCATTAAGTCATTTTTATTCGAACGTGTACTTATGCATTGTTGTAACTTTGTCACGACAAGCACATGTAATCATGAATGCTGTATTCTATCCGGAAATAAAATAAGATTTCGGAATGCCTCGCGATTGTTGCCTGCCAATCAAAAATATTGAATTCTAATGAAACATTTATGCAGTGCAATTTTTATTACCGTCATGATCTGATTTGGGATTCTGTTCTTGTCTAGTTTGATGATAAGTTATACTTTTGGGTTGACTAATTATAATTTGATTACAGGTTAATTTCCAAACATGGACAAATTGACTGTTCATACATGAACAAAGTACCCTTTAGATAGATCTTAGATAATTTGAAGACGAGGACGCATACATTAATTGTGTGACGAATCATAATTTGAATGGGGCAATCACTGATACAATGCAAATCTGTATTTGTGATCGTTGGTCTACACAACTAACCATCATTTGCTTGTACAAAAGACTTTTACATAACGAATCTGCTCTTTAAAGATGTCACAATTTTTAGGAAAATGGAAAGGAAATAAAGCTTCAAGGAAAAATTTTGACGAATACTGCAAAATGACTGGTAAGTTTTCCCATTTTTTTCGCAATCTGTTATCACACAAAATACATAGAAGACTACCACAAAGTCCAGTGGCATTGCGGGCAAAATACACAATTAAATCGAGATATTTCCACTTTTTAATATTCTAAAGCAAAATTCAGTAATTATTAGATATCTTTGGAATTTACATTTTTCATTGAATGAATTTCCGCACCCTATAAGGGTGTTACAGTCATTCTAGTATACCTCTATATTTTGCTCATTTTTGTCTCGCATTCAAACCTTTCTGTATGTTTTTTCCAGTAAATCAACAGTTTTTTGAGAAGACAATATTCTGTTCTGTTTCATTACATAATCATTTTCAAAATAACATTTTCTGATATTGGATTATTTTGTATCAAATTTAATGTTAGGACTATGACGTGTTGTAGGGGCCCTGAAGATTTGGTAGACAAGTATCGTAATGCTACTACAACCGTTGAATATGAAAAAGGTGACGAGAACTGGACAATGACCGTCTCATCAGATGCAATTCCAAAACCGCGGGTTTACAAGTATAAGTTAGGAGAGGAATGCGTTTCAAAAGACGCCCAAGGGAAAGGTATTAAGGTAAAAAAGCTAAAAAAATAAAGAATTGTGACAGTTTCCAAGTAATTTGAATATGTTTTAATATGCACACTAAAACTGGTAACGCAATTTCACGATATACACGGCTTAAAAGAGAGGCAAAAGATACCAAAGGGACATTCAAACTCATAAGTCGAACATAAACTGACAACGCCATGGCTGAAAAAGAAAAAGACAAACAGACAAACAACAGTACACAAAACACAACATAGAAAACCAACGACTGAACAACACGATCCCCACCAAAAAGTGGGGTGATCTCTGGTGCTCCGGAAGCGTAAGCAGATCCTGCTCCACATGTGGCACCCGTCGTGTTGCTCTTGTTAATACAAACCAGGTGATGAGTCAAATTCGGTGGGTCACATTCGGGGAAAAGGGGACGGGATTGTAGTAACGACAATTGGAAAATATCCGTTGTCATCTGTGAAATGGATATTTCATAACGGTTAATCAACTCTTGATGGCGTCTGTAAAATTTACGAAGTGACGATTTCAACTTCACCACTTGGAACTCTTGGTTTTATAGCTTCCTTGTGAGCAGCAACCCTCTATCAAGGAAATCATGATAGGAAAAACAAGCCCTGGAATATCAACTGGGAGATATATACTCCGTATGCAGGCGCTGCTGGAATGTTGCTACATAGAAATAGAAAGTTCACAATTGGGAAGCTGAAATCATCTCTTTTGTCGTAAAGTTTTGTTTTCAACCGACCATCATTGTCAATTTCTAGATGCAAGTCAAGATATGAGACAGACTTAACTGTATCTGTTGTATCCTTTATCTCAAGTTCGATGGGATAGATGCGTTCAACATAGTTATCAACGGAAAGTGAAATTAAAGGATACTGCTAACTTCTTTTCTTTCTTTCTAAGAAGTTCCTGTATGAAGTCAGCCTCACATAAAATAAGGGGAAAAGTCGACAAGAAGAGGAGCACAGTTAGTTCCCATGGGAATGCCGATTGTTTGTTGAAAAACACGTCCTCCAAAAGTAACAAATATGTTGTCAATCAAGAATTCAAGCATCTTGATAATGTCAGTTTCAGAGAATTTTTTGTTAAGTGTAGAAACGTCAAATGTTTTATTACTATTACAAGATGAGAGAGTTTTAGTTTGTATGTACTCTAAAAGATCTTTGGAATTTTTTAGTATCAAATCTGATTCACGCCACCTCTAGAATAGGTAGCGTCCCGGCTTTGATTGCTGATGAAATTGATGTCAATAATTTAGAAAGAGGTTTCGTGGAGCACTTGACACACCCAGCAATATAACGAAGTAATTAACTAGAAAGACCCAGCAATATAACGAAGTAATTAACTTGAAAGACCCAGCAATATAACGAAATAATTAATTAATTAATCAACTCGTTATATTGCTTGGTCTTTCGAGTGCTCCAGGAAACCTCTTTCTAAATTATTAACATCAATTTCATCAGCAATCAAAGCGGGCTTAAAATTATTAATTAATTAATTGACAAAAGGGATTGCATTTCCAAGATCAAACACCTTTGACAGTTATCTCTGTACTTACCGTTACCCATTTTAGTCTTTTCCTACCTGTACCCATTTTAGTCCATACTTACCTTTACCCATTTTAGTCTATACTCACCTTTTCTCATTTGAATCTTAAAACCGAGTTTCACCATTTCCACATCACCAACTCTTCACTGAAACGCAATTATTTTACATAACTCTTTCTTATTTATCTATGTTCAAAGCTTTTGTTATATAATACTTTGTTGAAAGAGCTATCGTTTTAATGCTTAACACATGGATAATTCTCACTGATGTTGACAACACTGGGATATTTCCAATGGTGCAAATAACACTATCAAATCTCTTACTAATGCAAATAATACTGGGATATCTCTAACAAATGTTAATAACACTGGGATATTTCTCACTAATGCTAACAACACTTTGATATCTTTAACTTATGCTTATACCATTTGGATAATTCTCACCAATGCTCATAACACTGGGAAGTCCCTCACTAATGCTGATAACACGGGGAATTCCCTCACTAATGCTAATAACACTTGAATATCGCTCATTAATTCTTATTACAATGGGTTATCTCTGACTTTTGCTAATAACACTGGGTTATCTCTCCAATTAGTACTGGGCTATCCCGTTTAGTATTAATAATACGGAATAGTACTCACTAATGCTAATAGCACTGGAATATTTCTAAATGATGCTAATAACACGGATATATCATTTATGCTTAATAAAATTTGTATCTTTAACTAATGCCAATAATACTGGGATATCTCTCTAATTGATAAAGCAATGGGATATCTCATTCTACCGATAATAACACTCAAAATATTTCTCACTAATGTCAATAACGATGTGATATTTCTTAATGATGCTATTGAACCTGTGATATTTATCAATGATGTTAACACTGGGATATCTATAACTAATGCTTACAGCACTTGGATATCTCTCACTAATGCTAACATCACTGAGTTATCTCTCACTAACGCTAACAGCACATGGATATCTCTCACTAATGCTAACAGCACGGGCATATCTCTCACTAATGCTAAAGCAATTTTTGCTTGTTCCTGAATCCTATTTATTTCATGTATCAGAATTGTATGCTATGTATTGATTTATCTGAATACAAATATTGTTTAAACTATTGCTAACAGCACTGGTATATCTCTCACTAATGCTAACACCACTGGTATATCTCTCACTAGTGCTAACACCACTGGTATATCTCTCACTAATGCTAACAACAATGGGATATCTCTCACTAATGCTAACAACACTGGTATATCTCTCATTAATGCTGTTAACAGCACTGGTATATCTCTCACGAATGCTAACAACACTGGCATATCTCTCACTAATGCTAACAACACTGGCATATCTCTCACTAATGCTAACAACACTGGGATATCTCTCACTAATGCTAACAGTACTTGGATATCTCTCACTAATGCTAACAGCACTTGGATATCTCTCACTAATGCTAACAGCGCTGGGATATCTATCACTTATGATAACAGCACTGGGATATCTCTCACTAATGCTAACAACATTGGCATATCTCTCACTAATGCTAACAGCACTTGTTTATCTCTCACTAATGCTAACAACACTTAGATATCTCTCACTAATGCTAACAGCACTTGGATATCTCTCACTAATACTAACAGCGCTGGGATATCTATCACTTATGATAACAGCACTGGGATATCTCTCACTAATGCTAACAACATTGGCATATCTCTCACTAATGCTAACAGCACTTGTTTATCTCTCACTAATGCTAACAACACTTAGATATCTCTCACTAATGCTAACAGCACCGGGAAATCTCTCTCTAATGCTAACAGCACTTGGATATCTCTCACTAATGCTAACAACACTGGGATATCTCTCACAAATGCTAACAGTACTTGGATATCTCTCACTTATGCTTACAGCACTTGGGTATCTCTCACTAATGCTAACAGCGCTGGGATATCTATCACTAATGCTAACAACATTGGCATATCTCTCACTAATGCTAACAGCACTTGTTTATCTCTCACTAATGCTAACAACACTTAGATATCTCTCACTAATGCTAACAGCACTTGGATATCTCTCACTAATACTAACAGCGCTGGGATATATATCACTAATGCTAACAGCACTGGCATATCTCTCACTAATGCTAACAGCACTGGTATATCTCTCACTAATGCTTACAGCACTGGGATATCTCTCATTAATACTAACAACACCGGGATATCTCTCACTTATGCTAACAGCACTGGTTTATCTCTCACTAATGCTAACAGCACTTAGATATCTCTCATTAGTACTAACAACACCGGTATATCTCTCACTAATGCTAACAGCACCGGGATATCTCTCACTCATGCTAAAAGCACTTGGATATATCTCACTAATGCTAACAACACTTGCATATCTCTCACTAATTCTAACAGCACTTGGATAGCTTTAACTAATGCTAACAGCACTGGTATATCTCTCACTAATGCTAACAGCACTGGGATATCTATCACTAATGCTAACAGCACTGGCATATCTCTCACTAATGCTAACAACACTAGTATATCTCTCACTAATGCTAACTGCACTGGGATATCTATCACTAATGCTAACAGCACTGGCATATCTCTCATTAATGCTAACAGCACTGGTATATCTCTCACTAATGCTTACAGCACTGGGATATCTCTCACTAAATTAATGCTAACTGCACTGGGATATCTCTCATTAATGCTAACAGCACTAGGATATCTCTCACTAAAGCTAACAACATCGGGATATCTCTCACTAATGCTAACAACACTGGGATATCTCTCACTAATGCTAACAGCACTGAGATATCGATAAGTAATGCTAAAATACTATGTTACCTCTCATGTGCTTATAACACTGGGACATCTCTCACTATATCATGACATTTGGATTTATCTATGTAATGGGGATTACAATGAGATATCTCATTATTTTGCTAGGCCAGTTGCTAGATAGTCTTACACTTTAACTTAAACTATGTTGCAAGCAAAATATGTATCTCTATTCAACAGAACCTCTTTTTTTCAAGTAGAAGTCCAAATTTCTCACTGCAGAACTTACCTATTAGATCAATTTTGAAATTGTTCTCGTCTCGAACATACTCGTCTCGATCATAGTTACATTCAATATTTGCCAGTGAACGCAAGCAAAAATAAATTGATTAAATCGGAACAAGTTTGTCGAATTTTCAGGTAAATGCATTATATATTTTGTTTGTTTCTAATTGTGCGGGTAACTCTCAAGCTGAAATTGAAATTCAAATGTGACATTTAGGTTTTTTTTCCTGTCTTGCATACCCATAAAGTAACATCAATTTAACATATTTACATATTCACCTCAATACTTCTTTAGTTTACAGCAGTTATTAATTCTGATGGGAGCATGACAGATACTAGTAGCTTTGAAATAATGGGATGGAAACCAACTACAACCACAAGAAAAGTTAACGCCAATAAAATGATTGTGGTAAATAACAATATATTTTTAAAGTCTTCTGACAGAATCAGTACTTACTCTGTGAAAAACATTGCTAATTATATAATTAATAAAAATACACGTGTTGAATTAAAAAAAAAAAACACTGGGTAGATGCCACTGCTTGTTGAGTTTTGTCCCCGAGGGTATTTTTGTCCTTTTGTGTTGACATGAAAAATCATTGCTTTCCGTTAATGTAAATTTACTGCGTTTAATATTTTTGAATTATTAAGGTTTTTCTAATCCCAGGCATACATTGCCTTTTTCGTATTTGGAAAAACTTTTAGAAATATCTGGTTCTTAATGCTCTACAACTAAGTATTTGATTTGGCTTTCGAACCGTTTTTAGCTCACATGGCCTAAAAGGCCAAGTGAGCTTTTCTCATCACTTGGCGTCCGTCATCCGTCGTCGTCGTTAACTTTTACAAAAAACTTCTCCTCTGAAACAACTGGACCGAATTTAACCAAACTTGGCTACAATCATTATTGGGGTATCTAGTTTAACAAATGTGTCCGATGACCCGGCCCGCAAACCAAGATGGCCGCCATGGCTAAAAATAAAACATATGGGTAAAATGTAGATTTTGGCTTATATCTGTGAAACCAAAGCATTTAGAGCAAATCTGACGAAATAAAATTGTTTATCAGGGTAAGATCTATCTATCCTAAAATTTTCATACAAATCAGAAAACCCGTTGTTGGGTTGCTGCCCCTGAATTGGTAATTTTAAGAAACTTTTGCAGTTTTTGGTTATTATTTGCAATATTATTATATATAGAGATAAACTGTAAAGAGCAATAATGTACGGCAAAGTAAGATCTACAAATAAGTCAACATGACCAAAATGGTCAATTGACCCCTTAAGAAGTTATTGCCCTTTATTTTCAATTTTTTGTCAATTTTTGGTATCTTTTACAAAAATCTTCTCCTCTGGAACTACTGAGACAAATTTAACCAAACTTGGTCACAATCATCATTAGGGAATCTAGTTTAAAAATGTGTCCGATGACCCCGCCTACCAACCAACATGGCCGACATGGCTAAAAATAGATTCTGAACATAGTGGTAAAAAGCAAGTTTTGTCTATTGATTTTTGAACCGTTATAAATAGAGAAAATCTGAAAGGAGCAAAAATGTTCAGAATAATGAGCTCTACCAATTGTCAATATACGTCAAAACTGTTAGACAAATTCTTATAGGAGTAATTGCCCATAAATGACAAATTTTACCATTTTTTTCATTTTTACCTATTATCATGAAGACTATGATATTTGAGAGAAACATTTTTTTTTCCGTTATGCCTTCTATGATTTAAATTATAATAGATAAATAAACACTTTAAATCACAAAAATGATCAGTTAGGCGAGATCTATTAAAAAGTCAAATTTTGCCGATATAGTTAGTAGACTCACTCTTCGTAGGAGTGATTGCCCTTACATGAGGATTATTTTTTACCCTCTTTTGTGTTTTGAGCAAAAACTAAAGAAGATAGAGAGAAACTAAACAGACTAAAAATCAGTAGTACAAGATCAACAAAATAGAGATTTTTGTCATGAAGTCTATTCTTGTCTACAATGTTGGAGAGTGTCCTTTGTTTGATATGCACATACACCAAGGTGGGCGACACAGGCTCTTTAGAGCCTCTAGTTATTCGGTCACAACTGATTAGCATCATGTAGGCGAAAATCGCGTCCGACGTACTAAATGATAAGCCTGGTGTTTTGAATGAGCTTTTACCGTTTGATACAATGTAAGTTTATGCAAATCTGCAACCAAAACAAATTGAATTAACTTTTGATTGAGCTATTTTGTTTTGCGAACATTTTCTGTAGCAGCGACATACATGATGTTTGCAGCGACACACATGATGTTTGCTGATGAAGTTTTAAATTATCAATCAATCAAACAATCTATCAAAAGTTTTAAGAAAAATCATCATCTATTGTTTCCTAGCAACTGCTACCTGTATATAAAAAAGGATCATATTCTTGTAAACACCGAGACAGCAAAACAACTACTTCTGGCACTGAGAATGACACAATTTGACATACAGAAGACTTACTTTGGTTCTGTATAGAGGAGATCGCAATTGAATTTTTCATTTTTTCGTTGAAGGAAACCAAAACTGGGGATGCAACCATGTCGTATGAAATGGACAAAGTATAAATTCTTCAATTTATCTCCTTGGTGTTGATGTTGAAAACGTTGGATAATTGAAAAATCTTCTATAAAACTGAGAGAAAAATATACGTAGGAAAACAATTTTATAAAGAAAAAAAAACTCATTTGTCTTGTTTATATTGGTTTGTTTTTGTTTCTATGTTTATATTGTTTTGTTTCTGTTTCGATGTTTATGTTGGTTTGTTTTTGTTTCGATGTTTATATTGTTTTGTTTCTGTTTCAATGTTTATATTGTTTTGTTTCTGTTTCGATGTTTATGTTGGTTTGTTTTTGTTTCTATGTTTATATTGTTTTGTTTCTGTTTCGATGTTTATGTTGGTTTGTTTTTGTTTCTATGTTTATATTGTTTTGTTTTTGTTTCGATGTTTATGTTGGTTTGATTTTGTTTCGATGTTTATATTGTTTTGTTTCTGTTTCGATGTTTATGTTGGTTTGTTTTTGTTTCGATGTTTATATTGTTTTGTTTCTGTTTCGATGTTTATGTTGGTTTGTTTTTATTTAGATAATTATATAAGGTTTTTTTGGAGGTTGATGTTTATTTTGGTTTGTTTATTGTTTAGATGTTTAGACGTTTAGATGTTTATATTGGTTTGTTTTTGATTGCTTTGTTTTCGTTTTGATGTTTGTTTTTGTTGTTTTAATTTAATTGTTTTTCTACATGTATTTCGTGAAGCGGGATGAGCTATTGTTTCAATCTATATTCTCATATCAGTAAAATTGTATTTATTTTCGTGCTGAACTGTGGTTGATGTCAATGGTCGTATGAATCATGAAAGATAGAAACATATTTTGATCATGTAAACAGCCCCCTTAAACTTATTATAATAAATCTATGTCCATGGGATAGATAAACCACCCTTTTAACTTATGTCTATGTCCATTGGATAGATAAACCACCCTATTTAATGTATGCCTATGTCCGTTGGATAGATAAACCACCCTATTAAACTTATGTCTATGTTCATTGGATAGACAAACCACCCCATCTATCTTACGCCTATGTCCATTGGATAGATTTGATTTGATTTGATGTTCTGTGTTTTAATGCCACTTTTAATCACCGCTTTTGTGCTATTTCGTGTCGGCCAGTTTTTATTGGTGGAGGAAGCCGGAGAGCCCGGAGAAAACCACCGACCTTCGATAGGAAAACTGACAATCCTAGTCAATTAAGATTGGAGTCGAGTGCACCCGCACCAGCGGGGTTCGAACTCACAACCTCAGTGTTGACTGGCTAGTGATTACAGTAGTAGTAACTACTTAGACCACTCGGCCACCGAGGCCCCTCCATTGGATAGACAAACGATCCTATTTAGCTCACGTCTTTGTCCATTGGATGGATAAAATAAAACGTAAGTTAGTCTAATTCGATTAATTTATACTGTGTGTTTACAGGCAACACACAAAGAACAGAAATATAGGCAGTATTTCATTGTTGGCGGTTAAAAGTTGAAAAAATCGATATAAGTTTGCGTCAATCAGCCAACACAGAAGTACTAAGGTAAATTAAAGTTTCACACGAGAAACTTTATACCGGTAGTAGTACTTAAATGACATAAGACATGAATTTTCGTTCCCTATAAATAAAAAAGATGTGTCATGTCCGTTAAAGAAATTACAATCCATCAGAGTCCACAACAACTAACAGCACACCAGAAGTACTGTAAACATTTGATAGCAAGGGTTTGACTCCTCAGAATGTCACGAAACACACAAAAACAACATATATCAACAAGACAAAAACACAAAAGTACCAATCTAAGAGTACTCGAAGTTACTTTAAGCCTGTTAAAAGCTCATTTTAATTGATAAGTAAATCATTTTGGCATAGAAATTCGAGGATAATTCGGTGGGTGCGGAGCTTAAATGTCTTTAGCGATAAGATAAATTATAGCAGAGCGACAACAATTAAAAACAGTTGAATAATATACAACTCCTCGTCTAATCAAATTGCTTCAACTTTTCCTTCAAACGTTGATGGTACATATGTTTTCCGTGTCCGAACTTTAAAGGGAAATTTAAGCAATACGATTGGACGAGTAATTGCAACTATGTGCTTATTGCAGGATAAAATGGATTTTTAAAATACTATTTAGTATGATTTACAACACTGCTAATGACATTATGACTCAATTTTGTTATATCACAACACAAGTAAAGGATATTGATAAAATTAAAACGTTAGGTGCAAAGTGGGCAATGAAGAAATCATATTTGGAAGAATAACAGGCAAAACCATGTTTAATATTTTATTAAAAAAAAACATTGAATTGAACTGGCTCATAAACATTCGTTAACCTTCTAAATTTTCGCTTTAATCTGTACAAAACTCGTATTTTTCGGTTCTGTTCACATATTGTTTCTGTTCATTTAGTTGAATGAATACCATATGGTTTTAAATGGTAAATTAACAAATCCATGACATGCATTAGTTTTGGGTTGACATAGTGAAAGGATATCGCATGGTCACTGATACTCTCCATACCCTGTGAATATAAACTTTATATGTTACAAGTACGATAGTCTAAAAAAACCCAAGAAAATCCAAAAAGATGACATGAATTCAACTAATGAAAATTCAGGACAGGCATAATTGAGACAGAAGTCCAAAATAACAAAAAGATGGCAGAAATTGACACCGTCATTGTAAAGGAAACCATAATGGTTTCAACAAGTACAAACTCAAAACATTAAGCAAACTGTAAATCGAACAGTAGAAATACTGCTTATGTGTAGATATTTGAACGCATAATACCTATTTCAGTGTGCACGCGTACATTAAGAGTTTTTGGTTTTATAATCATCAATTACGCTCGAATAAACAAAAATCTTAAAGAACAAATACACAACTTGTTTATGATTATCAAAAAGCGTTGTAAAATAATTCTAACAACTACATTTGGTGAACGTAATTTTCAAAAGACAGTCGAATGTCTACTTCTTCCTTTGTATGTTTTGGAGCTGATATCAACTTTTAACTTCACTTTAGCTTGATTTCGAAAAGTATCACACTCAAAAATTGAGAAACATTACAGTATCCCTTTGAACTTTCCAGAAAACCCACAGATACAGTTAGATTTGCTCAATATCTTGCTTAAGGTAGCACTACAGTCAGAATTTTCTGACTCTAACCAACAGTATTTAAAGATTAATTTCTCCAAAACTACTCAATGGATTTTTAAAATCTTTAACTCATTTTAAAGTTGAAATATTACTCTTTCTTAATCCATAGATAAATTTATTTTTAGTATGATAAATCTCAAAATATAGCTCATTAATTGCCAAAAAGTGGTCTTCCAACTTGGATGGAAATGGCACATTCAGGTCAAATGGTAGTAAAAATTTGTTTTCATTCCTTTAATCAACCATATACAAGCTGCAAAACCGTGTCTCAGATTATTGATATATGCCTCCAGTAAGAAGATATATTGATTTAACTGCTGGGTGCCAAACCTCATTTCACCTTTCATCTTTGGAGACCTATAAATTCATTTAGAAACAAATTATCCACAAAATGGAACACGGTATTGTAGAAAATACTCCCTTTAATCACATATATCAAAGTCAAGCCAAAGTGGGTACCCATAAAGTTTATATTTTCATTTTTTCCTAACAAATCTCAGGAAATTTTTTTCTGAGAAATGACCTAAAAACGGAATTTCCCCCTTAGAACCCCTATAAATGCAACATAAATACAAAAATTCCACTGGGAACTCCCCAGGAGTGTTCTGACACCATTACTTTATCAATAGAACCACACACTTTGTCTCTTTGATGCTCTAATGCTGTAAATTTTGCATTATGTGTGGCACTGTGCAACACTCACTTGGCATTTGGCGGGAGTTTGACGTCACAGATTTGACCAATATCTGTGATGTAGTAATGAAATATAGACAAAGCTCCGCCTCTGTCCAGACAGTCTAAGATAAGAGAATAACAGGATTGACCAGCTGCATTTAATCAATATTTAACATCATTATTCTCACTATAAAGAATAATTTTCATTTGTATTTTAAAAAGAAATATACTATTATTGAAATTAGCTAGAACATTAAAATTGTGCATCTAAAGACATGTTCGTAAAAAGATCCAAGACCATCCACTTCTTTAAAAAAAGACACTCCCACATGATTTTTGAGTTTTAAGGAATTGAAAAATTTCACATAAACTTAAAATTGGCTAAAATGCCTAAAACTGTATTTAAATGTAGAAGACCAAATAGAAGAAATTTATACAGGCAGTCAGAGGCTTTCAAAGACACTTTTACACTCTTTTCCATATTTTTTTTCATTTTTTGTAGATTTCCTCCCTTTAGTTTTTTTCCTTTTCATATCTTTTTCTTTTTCTCTGTTTATAAACATGTTATATAAATTATTTTTGTTGTAATACAATAAGATAAGACCACAATATTTATCTTGTGGTCAGGGATTAACAGCTGGACACTGGTATCAACAGATGATTTACATATTAACCCCTCCCAAATGCCTATATATTTAGATTAATTACCATATGCTTTTATTTACATAAGTTCATTATCAATTAACTCCCTGTTGTGATATGATAATGACTTTGGGATTTTTACAAACTGTGCAGAATAATACTTAATTCAAAATTATGTTATAAAAAAAATATCTTCAAAAAATCATTGTTAGACTGTAGTGCTAACTTAACATCTAGAAATTGACAATAACAATCGATTCAGAATTAAACTTTACGGCAAACAAATATATAAATTTCTCACAAGAAACTTTCCGTTTCTATATAGTGACAATTGCAAATGGAGTATATATCCCCAAGTTGATACGATATCTCCTTATTTCCCTAAACATGGTTGTTACTTGTAAGGAAACTAATGCACAGTTGGAGTTATCTCTTCGAACATGTTACGGACTTGGTTGTGTAGTGTTTTTTTTTTTTACTGTGTTGTGTCTTTTCGTCTTTTTCTGTTGTGTATGTTTCTTCGACTTACGGTATTTTAGCCAGCTATAAAACCAGGTTTAATCCACCATTTTCTACATAATAAAATGCCTGTACCAAGTCAGGAATATGACAGTTGTTATCCATTCGTTTGATGTGTTTGAGCTTTTGGTTTTGCCATTTGATTAGGGACTTTCCGTTTTGAATTTTCCTCGGAGTTCGGTATTTTTGTCATTTTACTTTAATTTGCACCATCGATTTTAACAGATATCTTCTTCCCTTTTATTTTACGAGAGAAGATTGAGATCTAAATTAACCTAGAGGCTCTAAAGAGCCTGTGTCGCTCACCTTGGTCTATGTGCATATTAAACAAAGGACACAGATGGATTCATGACAAAATTGTGTTTTGGTGATGGTGATGTGTTTGTAGATCTTACTTTACTGAACATTCTTGCTCCTTACTATTATCTCTATCTATAATGATCTTGGCCCGGTAGTTACAGTGGTAAATACTTTGTAAAAATTTACAAAAATTTACAAAATTTATTAAAATTGTAAAAAATTTACTATAAAGGGCAATAACTCCTTAAGGGGTCAATTGACAATTTTGGTCATGTTGCCTTATTTGTAGATCTAACTTTGCTGTACATTATTGCTGTTTACAGTTTATCTCTATCTATAACAATATTCAAGATAATAACCAAAAGCTGCAACATTTTCTTAAAATTACCAATTCAGGGGCAGCAACCCAACAACGTGTTGCCTGATTAATCTGAAAATTTCAGGGTAGATAGATCTTGACCTAATGAACAATTTTATACCATCAGATTTGCTCTAAATGCTTTAATTTCAGAGATATGAGCCAAAAACTGCATTTTACCCTATGTACTATTTTTTAGCCATGTCGGCCATCTTGGTTCGCGGGCGGGGTCATCGGACACATTTCTTAAACTAGATATCCTAATGATGATTGTGGACAAGTTTGGTTAAATTTGTCTTAGTAGTTTCAGAGGAGAAGATTTTTGTAAAAAAATACAAAAATTTACGAAAAATGGTTAAAAATTGACTATAAAGGGCAATAACTCCTTAAGGGGTCAACTGATCATTTTGGTCAAGTTGACTTATTTGTAGATCTTACTTTGCTGAACATTATTGCTGTTTACAGTTTATCTCTATCTATAATAATATTCAAGATAATAACCAAAAACGGCAAAATTTCCTAAAAATTACCAATTCAGGGGCAGCATCCCAACAACGGGTTGCCTGATTGGTCTGAAAATTTCAGGACAGATAGATCTTGACCTAATAAACAATTTTATACCATCAGATTTGCTCTAAATGCTATAATTTCAGAGATATGAGCCAAAAACTGCATTTTACCCTATGTACTATTTTTTAGCCATGTCGGCCATCTTGGTTCGCGGGCGGGGTCATCGGACACATTTTTTAACTAGATACCCTAATGATGATTGTGGACAAGTTTGGTTAAATTTGTCCCAGTAGCTTCAGAGGAGAAGGTTTTTGTAAAAGATTACAAAAATTTACGAAAAATGGTTAAAAATTGACTATAAAGGGCAATAACTCCTTAAGGGGTCAACTGACCATTTTGGTCAAGTTGACTTATTTGTAGATCTTACTTTGGTGAACATTATTGCTGTTTACAGTTTATCTCTATCTATAATAATATTCAAGATAATTACCAAAAACGGCAAAATTTCCTTAAAATTACCAATTCAGGGGCAGCAACCCAACAACGGGTTGTCCGATTCATCTGAAAATTTCAGGGCAGATAGATCTTGACCTGATAAACAATTTTATCCCATGTCAGATTTGCTCTAAATGCTTTAGTTTCAGAGATATTAGCCAAAAACTGCATTTTACCCCTATGTACTATTTTTAGCCATGTCGGCCATGTTGGTTGGCAAGCGGGGTCATCGGACACATTTTTTTAACTAGATATCCTAATGATGATTGTGGCAAAGTTTGGTTAAATTTGGCCTAATAGTTTCAGAGGAGAAGATTTTTGTAAAAGTTAACGGACGACGACGACGGACGACGGACGCCAAGTGATGAGAAAAGCTCACTTGTTTAGGATTGAATTTTGATTTTAGCTAATATATATATAAATAAAAAGTACAAGTCTTTGCTACTTTGGAAGCCAATAATAAAAATACCATTGAAATACGATGTCTGCATGCCTAATACTTCAAAAAGACATACTAATTCATGATTTATTATTAGACTATTTTCATATTACTGACTTCTGATTCTGGAGTATATGATTTTTTGACAAGTTACATACTCTGTGGTAGGGCATTCTTGTACTCGGTCAAGTGAGAGCAACTAAAAGAAGTAAAATCAAGCTTACAATCGGTGCAATTTTGGGAAAACATTTACTGTTTTGTGTTTTCTTTACACGACAAAATCATCTGGAAACAGTCAATTTTCCACAAAAATTGCACAGATATTTTTTTGTCAGACATATCTCGAAATTTCTCTATGACAATAAAACAAAGTATTAGATTAAGATATACATGTACATTACCTTGCGAGGCCCATTTGCATCATATTTGTAATACCATTTAGGATAGTCTCCAAACAAATGACTTTCTGGCTGAAAACAATGAAATCTACTTCGACCCAGTGCATCACTTGAGTTGACAACTTTAACCCCAACCTTTTCCAAACATTGTCCAGTTGCGGCGTCTGAGGCAGCACCGTCTTTTCGGCATAGTTTCGGATCCTTTCCTTTAGTACCGAGCCTTGTTAGTGCTTCCCGGCTCAAAACATAACCTGCCCCTCCACTAAAATATCCTTGTTTACTAAACATTTTAAAATGGTGTCCAAAGAAAATAGGGTCACTTGTGTTATAGTCTTTTAGAAAATATCTTAAATTTTCTAGGATAACATAAGTATCGTCATCGGCTTTCAAAAACCAATCAGCTTTATCCCTATAGTTTTCAAAAATGTAATCAAATGCACCAGACTCCTTCTGAGTGAGATGTTGCCTTCCTTCTGAAACGTTCAGACCAATAGTTGGGAAACTTGAATTTGACACTGAGCTCATAAAAAGTAATATATTACATCTTTTCCCCCATGTCTTTTTAACATGAATAGCTCTTGTCTCCAGGTTTTTTGGACATGTCATTACATAACATAACACTCGAACTCTTTTTTCTAGATTTTCTGCGATATTATTATCATCTACAAATTTGATAAAAGAAAATTTAACTTTGTGTAAACCATTTCTCTGTTTGACTAAGATTTTTATTTTCAAATATATTTATTACTACTTTGGATCGATCAATCATGTGATTGCTACGATCATTAAGAATTTAATATGGAGATAGAAGTGTGGCAGTGCATATTAATAACATAGCACTCAAGTTTTTCATCTATGTGTTCAAATTTGTTCTGTGCAAAATATGCTTTCCCTTTCGGGGCCCCTGTTTTAAATCCCAACTTTTGTAATAGATATATATTACAAAAGAGAGGCAAAAGATATCAAAGGGATAATCAAACTCGTTAAAGGGCAACAACTACTATTGAGAGTTGATAAACAATTTCGGCCATATTGACATATTTGGAAATCTTATCCTGCTGACCATTTTTGCTTTTTAAAATTGCTATCTATGTTCATGTCAATAATATCTATATTTTTAACAGAATCTTGTCTTGTTGATTATTTTTGTAGAGCAAAGATTCTGTCTATCTATTATAATACTTTTCAACATAATAAAGAAACATGAAAAAAAAGAGCCTATTGACGTTTTCATTCGCAATAGCTTATTTGTATATTTGTGTAATTTGGTTTGCTGACAATTTTTTGCTGTTCTATCTACGTATATACGCGTCATTACAGTTTTCCAACATATTAGGTAAAACACTAGTCATCGGTTAACTCCTATAAGGAGGTGACTGACATTTTTCTGTATCTGGTTTATCTCTATTTCAAAAAAAGTTTCCGACAAAATCACAAAACGGATAAAATTCGTCATTCAACATCAACAACTCATATGCGGTGTCGACTTACAATTTAGACCGACTTATTTGTAGGTCTTATTTTGCTGATCATATATGCTGCTTACAGTTTCTCCCTATAGTTTATGCTAACAACACAAAATTCGTAATCCATGGGCAATAACTTATATTAAAGAATTTGATGATGATTTCGGCCATGTTGACTTATTTCTAGAACTAATATTACTTATTACTTCTGTTTTTCTTTTCGTTTCTACCAAAGATTCCACAAAAAAGACCAAAACAAAAATTTAGTTGAAATCGTCAATCAAGGACAATAAAACCTGTGACAAATCGTTTGAAGATTTCGGCGACGTTGACTTGTTAGTAGATTTTGTCCTGCTGATTATTTTGGATATTCAAAGTTTCTCTTTTTCTTGTATAGTTTTCGCAAAAAGTTCAAAAATAGTCATCCAAGAGCAATAACTCCTATATGGAGTAGTATGATGATTTCCGCCATGTTGACTTATTTGTAGATGTTATTTTGCTGATCCTTTTTGCTATGAACTGTTACATGTACTATTGTCCGTCGTATACAAATGGAATATTTAGATGGCATGCAATGATCATAATGATGTATCGTATTGTTATATAAATAAAACCAATGTTTTGACTTCAACCCATTGGTAGTATTTATAAAAATTTCTGAAAAAACGTAAACATTGGCACATATACATTTAGTACAGTAAGATCTACTCCTAAATAGATAGTAGATAACAGTGACAAAACGAGTTTTGACTTCCACCAATTGGTAACCGAGAGGTTCGTCCATATGTTTGATGAGGGTCTGGATGGGGTTTACAGATTAGAGAAGAATGAACCAATACTGCAGAAAAATGGGCCAAAAAAAAAAAAAAAAAAAAATAGATCCCGAAAATAATGAATAGAGAATAAAAGGATGTTAAAATATAAAGAATAGAGAATAATCGGGCAAAAATATAAAGACTAAAGAAAAAAAAATAAAGAATACAGAACTTGGGGACCATCCACCTACAACCTCTTTGATATCAGTCAACATTACCCAATTCAAGGACGGAGTTCGATTCCCAGTGACGAAAAAAAAAAAAAAAAAAGAATCCACGGTAAATGAATAGGCTGACGTCACAGCAATGGTTTAACTCTAGTATATTAGCACAAACTGACAACTTCGTCCAATCAAATTATTTGAATTTACCTTCTAAGTTTCATAGACCATACTTTTCCCGTGTACTAAGTAACTATGCATGAATGCCAACAATAAGATTTCATTGTATTGTAATCAAAATATTAAGAACAAAAATTGACACTGGCTATTTTTTAATATTTCTTTTGTCCATAATAAAAATGTTTTAACATATTCTACTATTGAAATCCTTGGTTTAAAATAAATGCTTTTTTTATTTAATGTTTTATTTCGTATTTATTATACGTGTAGAGCAGGATCTGCTTACCCTCCTGGAGCACCCGAGATCAACCCAAGTTTTTGATGGGGTTCGTGTTGCTCAGTCTTTAGTTTTCTATGTTGTGTTTTGTGTACTGTTGTTCGTCTGTTGGTCTTTTTCTTTTTTAGCCATGGCGTTGTCGGTTTATTTTCGACTTATGTGTTTGAATGCCCCTTTCGTATCTTTCGCCTCTCGTTTTAAAAGACACTAGAACACACCCGCGAAATCGCGGGCCTTTAGAGCGAGGTTGAAAGTATGTTAACTGTTGTAGGATGAATTTTTGTAAAAGATTTTATGACGAGAATTTCAGGAAAGGTATCAAAAGTCATAGGTACTTGGGGACAGGACAATTTTTTTTAGCCCTCCCCTTTTTTCTAAAGTCCGTTATTTTTTGTTTTCTGATAATTTCAATTATTTTCGCGTTTTTCTGTACACTATGAACATACATATACTATAAAACAAAGTGTATTTGCTATTTACTATCGATTCCAAGTTGACTATCCACGGCGGTCACTGATATATTATATAGAGACTCTCTATTATATTATATTGTAATATTTTAATGTTTTGTAAATATTGACCTCTAGTTAATTTGACTTTATAACTGTTTATTTGTGTACAGAGAAAATTAATGACGCAAGGCTAATTTGACAAATGGCTAGTTTTATTATCTGCAGTTAAAGTTGAACTGTCAGATGTAATTAAGACAAGTAGCGATGTCTTGGGGTGTAGGGTAATAAAATAAGTTATGCCTATTTGTTTTGTCTAGAGTGAAAGTAATTAAACTCTATGATAAAGGTTAGTTGGTCAGAGACTGGCAGATTGGGTATCAGCTGTGATACTGGAAGGATGTGATTTTCCTTGAAGTCTTGAATCAGTATAGGTTCTGGAGGACTTGTATTTAAAGTTTATATGTTTAAACTTTGTTGCTAATAATTTGTCAATGAGTCTGAAGTAATGTACATTTGTGAATAAACTTGTAAATAGATACCGTATTATTTAGTTAATGGAATTTACCACAGGATACATTGTCGTGCCATAGTATGGCGATGTCCGTCCGTCTGTGTCGAGGTCGTTCCTCCCCTCGGTCACGTTACAATTTTTGGTGGCAGCGGTGTGGATATTATTAACATGGATTAGTTTATTTCTATTATAAGGATTGATGTGCTATTTGGAATTTAACAATGTATTTTCGCAAATTATATTCTGTGGATTTATAGTAATTTTCAGATAATTTTGTGTGAGAGGATTATTTCAAATGGAATAAAATATTTCTTGTGCGTAAATAAAGTAACTGTAATTAAATTGTTGTACAATGGATAAACGTGATTCTTCTGATAGAGAAATTTATTTCGGAGGTGCAAGACCTAAAGTATCAATGGATACAGGGATAGGATTAAGTTCAACCGTGTTATCAGCTTCAACGCCTAGAATGATTGAAACCCAAAGAGAAATTCAGCGTTTAACTAAAGAGTATGAAACTCTTCAGGAAGAAATTTCAAGTGCTTCGACTCCGAGAAGATCACCGATTCCATCCGTGTTCCAACCTTTTGGTAATCAAGGATCGCATTCACATAAGCATATGGGATCTGAAAAGCCAGTTGTCCGACCCTCTAAATATGATGGTTCTGTTTCTTGGGAAGATTATAAAATTCAGTTTGAAATGATATCCGAATTAAATTGTTGGGCGGATAATCAGAAAGCAATGTTTCTTGCAACAAGTCTAAGTGGGAATGCGCAAAGTGTTTTAGCCGATATTGATCCGATAAAGCGTAAAGATTTTCAATCGATATGTGCAGCATTAACAAGTAGATTTGGAACCGAAAACAGAACAGAGCTTTTCCGTGTGCAGCTTAAGAATATCCGTAAAAGAAGAGATCAAGAATTGCCTGAATTGGCGCAACATATCAAGAGACTAAGCCGTAAAGCATATCCCAAAGCTCAATTGGAACTACAAGAGATGTTGAGCCGAGATCATTTCATTGATGCATTAGATGACGCGGATACACGGTTGCGTATACATCAAGCTCACCCAAAGACACTAGATGATGCAGTTAAGTTGGCTGTTGAGCTTGAGGCTTTTTATATTGCGGATAAACAGAAGGACAAACCTTCAAGTGTTCGAAATTTTGCTATATCGGAAAGTTCAGAAGTGTCTGGTCAAATCAAAACATTATCTGATGTGGTAGAGGAACTTCGACGTGAGCTTCAGTTTCTTAAGCGCGATATGAGTCAACAGAGACGCGGATTTAATAACAATAACAACAAGCCGGGGAAAAGGGGATGTTGGACTTGTGGAAAGACAGATCATATTAGAAGAAATTGCCCTAATGATGACAAAAGTCACACAAATTCTCAACAAAAAGACAGAGTTAGAACCGGTCGTGTAGCGAGTGGCGATGGAGGAATGTATATTCCTGGTAAATTTCAAGGTACAAACGTTCAATGTTTAGTAGATACAGGTGTAAATGTGACAATTTTGAATGATAAGGTATACGATTCTCTGTCCGATGGAAACAGAGTGGTGTTGCGTCCAACATATACAAACATGAAACTTGCCGACGGTAAACCACTTAAAGTTAGAGGAATAGGTAAAATGAACGTTGAAATTGGGAGGACACTTCTCACACACGATGTGTGGGTAGCTGATATAGATGAAGATATAGACTGTATTATCGGTTTTGACTTCATGAAACAAAGTATGTGTTGCATTGATGTGGCCAACAATACAATGACTGTTAATAAAGAAGAGATATCATGTGC